GAATTTTCTTAAATATGAAAGCACAATTATTTTAAAACTTGGAGTCTTTTCCGAAAACACAAGAGTCGTAAAACATTTCTCTATTAGCAACAGTTTTTTTTTTAAAAATTTGTTCTTATTTTTTGCTTTAGCTTCTCTCACACATTTCTTATTAATATTACAAACAGCAATAAAATTATTTTTTTTACTTTTCTTAAAGTTCCGATCAGTAAAGTTTTTAAACCGAAATTTCTAGTAAGACAACTTTATGAAGCATTGATGATAAAGTTGCCTTAAAGACCTTAACGCATCTATTCATAAACTGATAACTGCAATGAAATGCATATTACTTAACAATGGGAGGAAAGTACCCGGGTTTTTTTTCTCGCTCAGGCAAGAATTGATTCAATATTGAAATGGAAATTATTATTTTTTTTTCGATCTCTCTTACCCCTTAGTAATCACTAACAAAATGTTCAAAGAAAACAAATGTTAAACTAAGAAATTTTTAATCATAGAATGCCACATAAGGGATTACTGTAAAGGATTTTGATAAAATTTATTTTAATTCATTTTTTTTCTCCCAGTATTGTATATCGTGTTGGCCCTTCAAAAATCTGATTCTGAATATCTTAGAATCAGGATAAAGATTTCGTTTCCTGCAAAAATGTACGCATTGGAATACGTAAAACCGTTTATAATTGCGCATTTTAGCACTTCATTGATTACAGTTGTCCTTCGATAGTTCTGATATGTGTGGCCCTAGAGTGATAATCGAAAATCATCAACGAATAACTTCTCCATTAATTGATGTGTTTGGTAAAGCCAATAAAAATCTGGTTAATTTTAATTCTCTCTTCACTTTTATTTCTGTTTCTAGTTGTGAAATGTCATCTAGTGGTTTATGACATATTCACTGTCTATCAGTTAAAATGTTGCTACTCTCAATCAAATAATTTAGTCAGGCATTTATTATTTTTTTTTATAATTTACATGGGACTTAATAATTTATGGAAACCACTCTATTTAGCCGATTATATGTCGCGAGTTTCAAACAAAGGCCAGAGGACTATTTTAGATGTCTGGTTCAAATTGGTGTTTAAACATAATAATGTGAATATCGTCATGCTCAAGAGAAATGTTTTTGCATCACTCTAAGACTGTTTCTAATTCATTTATGTTGAGTGGTGCATTGCATTCTTCCAAAGGTTTAAATGGGCTATTTAAGAATTTTTCAATTGCAGAATCTGAATTTCTAATTTGATGTCATTTTGTGGACACATTATATTTAGATGGCCTTTTAGGTAAGCTGCAAATGTTTCTTGCTCGAGCTTCTCTAAAAGTTATAAAATTTTCAAGTGTTGNTCATTCACTTTTTCACATTATTGTATATCGTGTTGACCCTTCGATGATCCGACCCCGAATATCTGAGAATCAGGATAAAAATTTCGCTTCCTGCAAAAATGCACGCATCAGAAAACGTAAAACCGTTTATAATTGCGCATTTTAGCACTTCATTGATTACAGTTGTCCTTCGATAGTTCTCATATGTGAGGCCCTAGAGTTATAATCGAAAATTATCAACGAATAACTTCTCCATTAATTGATGTGTTTGGTAAAACTGATAAAAATCTGGTTAATCTTAATTATTATCTCCGCACTTTTATTTCTGTTTCTAGTAGTGAAATATCATCTAGTGGCGGCTTACGGCATTTTCACTGTCTATCAGATAAAACTCTAATAGACAGTCTCTACTACTCTTAATCAAATAATTTAGTCAGGCATTTATTATTTTTTCTAATAATTTACATAGGCCTTAATAATTTACGGAAACCACTCTATTTTGCCGATTATAATGTTACGAGTTTGAAGCAAAAGCCAGAGGACTATTTCAGAGGTCTGGTTCAGATTGGTGTTTGAACATAATAAAGTGAATATCGTCATGTCCGAGAGAAATGTTTTTGCCTCACTCTAAGGCTGGTATAAATTCATTTATGTTCAGTGGTGCATTGCATTCATCCAAAGATTGTAATAGGCTATTTAAGAATTTTTTCTCTCCTTCCAATTGCAGAATCTGTATTTATAATTCGATGTCATTATCTTGACACATTATATATTTAGGCCTTTTAGGTTTAGCTGCAAATGTTTCTTGCTCGTGTTGGTTGGCAACGAAACTCTCTCCCAGCCACTCTTCTTCGTGGCAGCCTTCATAGGATGACAGTTTGTTTTGAGTCACTTCTTCAGAGATAATATTATTTCGTTAAATGCTAAAGTTGTGCTTGAGATGGCTATTAATATGGCATCATCCTTCATTGACTTTTACATGTATGTATCTCCAAGAGGGAAATTTATTCTATCAATACATTGTTGCGTGTTATAAACAAAAGCATACTTTTTGTGTACATTAAACACACACAACATGTAAATAAATTTTAAAGGCTATCTCATTTTATAGCCTTTCCCCCCCTTCAATTTATGCATCTACAAAACTAGAAATTTAATAAGTATTTGAAATGTGAATATATTTCAGTTTTAAACTATCTTATTTTAGGTGTAAATAAATACTTATTTTTTTTCCAGATATATAAACTTATTCTTTGCTCTTAGAGAGGGATAATTTTGCTACATATATTGCTGTTTGAAAAATAGTTATTTATCTATTCGCTATTGTGTCTGTATTTTTTTCAAGTAGATAAAAGTTAGCTTTAAGAGTGCTGACGAAAGGTTTGAAGAATTTTGAAAAGATCTACGAAAGCAATTTGGGGGTTGTAGAGCGATAGATAGCAGGGTGTGATAGGATAGCTACCTAGTCATATCATGAATAATTACAATTGTGTAACGGATAGTTAATTCGTAGCAACAGATGGCGCTACCTCTCTATCCGCAAAAACAATAGTCTTTGTTCTGACTCTTACCTAGTGAGATGACGCAAGATAGAGAAACCAAAGCCTTCCCTGGTTCCCGTTTTACCCCAATCAGTTTAATGGGTAAAACTTTAAGTTACTTTCTATTTTAGTCAATGTTATGTTGTTACTCATTATTGTAAAAATGTATGTGTAAATGTATAATTAAAATACTGAGCTGTTGATGGTGTTCCCTTCCCTGATGGTAATAAAATAATGCACATCTAATCGCGTTTAGGTATAACAGCGCTTTCTCTCTCTTTTCTTTAATTTAAGAAAAATTCCTTGAAACATATCCTGCATATTGTATCATCCAAAAAGAAAAATTAGTTTGACAGCATTTAGTATGAACTTAATATTATCTAACTCTCTTAAATCAAAATCACTTTAATTTCTTAAAACATTGTAGGCGCAGGAAATCTTATCCTTAATTCATATTCTTAAAAACATATTTTTTTTCTCCAACTACAAATTTGATAAAATTCTTTTTAATTTTAAATTTTTACTTTAGAGAAAACCGTAAAAATTTAGCTTCGGTTGAGCGCGAATTATATGACTTGCACATAAATATCAATTATCATCATCATAGTTGGTGAGACAGCCCAATGCCTTCATCTGCAGATTTCTCCTTCACGACTTCTGATTTATCTTTGATCTCCAATTCTTTTCATTAATTGCAATAAAATCAGACTCTGCGACTTCCCCACTTTTTTGTCCCAGAGAGTCTAAAGAGCAATATCTTATTTATTGTATTGACATCACTCATTCAAATCACATGGGCCATCCAATTCATTTTTATGTATTTAATAATATCAGGTTGTTTATAAATCGTGAACAGTTTAAAGTTAAATCTCCAGTTATTGTTTTCATATTTCTCAAATATTAGTGATTATAATTTTCTTCCAGTTTTGTCATTGTCAGAAGCATATGGTCAAAATCAACCTGACAAGAGTTTTGTAAATTAAGAACTTTGTTTTTCTAGAAAGAAAATTAGATTTAATAAATCTTCTCAGCCCACAGACAGCCCTATTAGCTTCATCAAGTCGGTTTTTTATTATGTATATAACTTTTTATAATGTTATGTACATATTTACTATGTATATAATATAAATATGGAGATTTTATGTTAATTGCTAAATTAAATTTTATTTTAGGATATGTAATTTTTGGTTTGATTTGTTACATTAAACTAATTATAGAATTATTAATTAAATGTTTGATGACCTTTTTCATGTAACTCCACAACAATACACTATTAATATAATAACAAACCTTTATTAAAAAAGACTAATATTTCTTAATTAAAAATCTGTAAAATTCAAGAAGAAAAATAATTTTCACAGAATAAATACTTATTTGTTAATAAATTATGTAGTTAAACCATATTATTATAAGCTTCATTGATTATTATTAAAAACACCAAGAGGATAAATTAACAAACATTTTACGCTGTATTTGAAACATATAAACCTTGTTGCATTTTTAAAAAAGGTACTATTTTATTCATTTAAGCTAATTATTCCATTTATTTATTAAAGTCTTTGCTTTATATTGTTTAATATTCATATCAAATGATTAAATATCAAATTAACATTTCCAAGTATAACATTTTGTAATTTCTGTTTCAAATATCAGACCTACATTTTTTAGAAATATTGCATATGATAAATTAATACTTTAAAGTAATGTATTTCTTTAAAAAAAATGCCCTTTAATTTTTATAATCAAACAAAAAACTATACTAAAAACTTCACTCTAAACAAAAATTTTTGAAAAAATAGGCAAATAAAAAAATGCTATTAGGGCATCATTTCTTAATACCTTAAAAAAATTATTATTTTTGAAAATTTTTTTAAAACTGTTTTAAATTAAACCAATGGATAGGATATTTTTAAAATATATTTTTAGTTCTGAAAATATCCCTAAATAACTTTTTTTTTCACTTAGTTGTAACTTGAACATTGTTCTATTGGATTTAAATGTGATTTACTTTTAATAAAGAAAATTGAAGATTATTTGAAGAAACTGTTTCAGAGATTTTGTATTTAGAAAACCTCCAAATACAATTGATCATGAAAAATATAAATAAAATAAATGAAAAAATGACAAAAAACCATGCATAATAAAATAAAAAAATGTATTAAAAATTATAATTTATTAGCAACAAGAATAGGAAAAATATAGAACACAGTAAATCATTAAATGTTTAACAAATATAAATGAAAGAATGAAACAATTATGAAGATTAAGTAAACATACAAGAAGGATTGAAAAAGTTGTAACAAGAAATTGTTTAAATTTATGCTCAGTATGTTGGGGAGGTTAAAACAAATTATAGTCAAGGAGTGGCTCTAATAGATTTCTTATTTTTTTTACTTAAATTGAAGGTAGGTGTTAGCTCATTTTTAAGTTGGTAAAAGACAAAGTAAAAATTTTGAAATCAAAAAATGCTGCACATATTTCATGTAAATATAAATAACTTTATACCATAAAAAAGCAAGAGCATTTAAATATAACATACCAAAATGGTTACAACAGCTTAAGAAAAATTTCTTAAATATTTACAATACTAAAGTTAATAATTTTCAAACAAAAAAAAAAAACAGTACAAGAAATAGATTACACAGAAATAAAGGAATATTTTAACTCTAGTAAAGTGAAATGAAAAATTTTTTAAGTATTGCTACAGAATACAGGCAATTTTCAAACTTAAAAGGAAAGGAGAGTTACCCAGCACCTCAAAATTTTGGAAAAGTCACTAACTGAAGCAGATTCAACAATAAAAATTTTGTTCATACAAGCAGATGTTGAAGTCCATTACATTCTTTTGTTGTGTTGTGATATCATTTGCAATTATTATGAAAAATAACAAAATTTTCATAGAAAGATTATTTTTATTTATTTATTCTCACATGCATTATTGTATTTTTTAAAGAAAAAAATGTTTTTTTAAGTTTGTTTTTAAAACTTAATTTAAAAAAATTACAAATAAATATTAATTCCAGGAGAGAATTCAGCCCATTGATCTTTTCTCAAGACTGATTTCAGTCCTTAAGACAAAAGAGTGGCAGGTGAGAGTGTAACAGGTGTGGTCAGTTAATTGTTTAAAACATCATTGCCAAAATTATCATACCAAATTTAATAATACCTTTAATTCATGAGAAATATAACTAATTTTAATTTCATTTTAGCGATTCCACAAATATATTTTTAAATTTTTAAGATCATCTATTCCCAGAAAAGCATAAGCAAAAGATGTAATTAGAATTTTTTTAAAGTTATGAACTGATAGAATAAAAACAAATTTTCTAAATAATAGAGGAAAAAAAATTGTGACGAATAAATAAATTAAAAAAACTTATTTTACTTATCTTGCAATAAATTTGGTAATAAAGGTAAGAATTATTGATACAACAAATCATGACTACCACCTCCTATAGACCGAAACAAGGCTCTACAAAGAAGGAAATAATTATATGGTTCTTTAGCACTTGAAGCTAGCTCCATGGATCTATTTACTATTTGATGTAAATAGAGCTAGAAAGGGGAAAAAAAGGTTACTTTAACAATTAAAAGCAACAACAAAAAAGTATATTTAAAATATTTTTTTAAATACAAGTAATTATTAAAGAATGTAAAAATTACTTTTAGCATTTCCTCATTTTAAGCAGGAAACAAAGACACTGATCCAAAAACCAGTTCAAAAAGCTTCATGTACAAGTTAGATCTGTCCATATTTGCTCTGAAGAATATATAATGTTATGAAATAAGTTCACTTGTTTAAAAATAAAATGTGCAGAATACATGTAAAAAAAATTTATACATGTAAAAAATATATTTGTTAATCACAAAACCTTAAGAAATTCATTTTACAAAAAATATTTTAAACGAAATTCCTACTTAACAAATATACGTTCACATGATAAAAATGTATCATTTTGTTGTCTATCATCAGTACCCAAATGACAATTATTTGTTTAAACATCATAGAAAATAACTGATTATAAAGGAATTGAATATATAAAAAAATTGTAACATTTGTTCAATGACAATGCAGATAATGCTAAATAGATAAGTGTTAATAGTTATGCTTCATAATAAGTAAATATATAAGCATTTATCACTTTTAATGTGGTAATTATTATTTTGTACTTTGAAAGTTCACCAGTACACATTTAATTTTGTGAGACACATATGTTAAAATAATTTTTTGCAATAAAAAAAAAGAAAAAGAATAAACAAAATTATTTGAAAAAGTTATCACAGTAAATATTACTTACATCCATTTCTTCCATCCTTTTTAGAAGATATTCTACTAGCATTGTTGCAAATATGGGGGAGGTGGCAGTATTAGCAAGAAAAGAATGTGCTAGAATCTGAAATATAGACACACTCTATCTTATCAAACCAAAAGAGGTTTTGTATTTACAAAAATATTATGACTATAGTTAAACACTTTTAACTGATTGACTGTTTCACATTAGAACAAGTCTGCATAGAAATATATCGCAAACACATAACTTTTTCATTTAATTACAGAATAAAATAATAGCTGAAAGAACATTTTTAGTTACTTGAAATATTCACTGTTACATATAGTTTAATAATCTATACCATAATAATTATTATGAAGGCAATAAACATACTCGCAATGCAGGATTCTTGAAAATTTGTTCAACCATGTGCTGAAACAATATAAAGTTTAAAATTATAATGAATAGTATTTAAATTGTAATAAATAGCATTGAAATATTATAAGGCATTTAGAGCGTACATGTATAGATGTTGAAAATACTTCTCTATGTTAATGGATGCATGTTACTGTGTTAATGGATGTATCATGGTATACTGAAATGAAATTTTATTTTAGACAATCTAAAATAATTTTTTTTTAATAAGTAATATATAGTAGAAGATCAATAAATTCAATTCTAAAAGCTCCACAAATCTCCATCACCTACATTAACTTTACATTATTTCTATTTCTCTTGATAACTTTAAATATAAAAGTGGATATTTTTGTGTTATAAAGTATTTTTATTTAAAAACTATTGTACGCTTAGCGAGACAGAAAAGTGTAAATTGCAATTGACTGGTAACTATGGCAACGGATGAGTGGAATAGTATCTAGATATTAGAAAACTGAATTCATGGTCTCCCAATTCAAAATAGGATAATCATTTGCCGCTGAGATTATCCTAGTTAAAATTTCTGATGGTTTTCCATTGATGGACCAACATAATCTTGATGGCAACCATCAATAATTCCATCAAGAACCATTATATTTTTTTGATGGTAACCAACAATTAGTAAGAATTCGGATCGATTTATGACGGTCCAACCTAAGAATAGCTGGTCCAACATGAACAACACACCATCAACTTGATTTGTTCATGTTGAATCTTCACGAATTTCCATCATAGTGTCTTAGAAATCCAATGTTGGAACAATCATGAATAACCGTCATCCCACAATGAAGAAATTCGGGATGTTTCAACATAATTTTTGATGGTCCAACATAAAAAACAAAGCAAATTGTTCTGATGGACCAACAAGAATTCCCATTAAGCCAGCATGAACCACCACAGATCATCATGGATTGTTGGTTCATGAGAGTCAAACTTCTCTTGATGGTTAATCATCATAGTATTAAAGTAGCATTTACCATCATGGAAATTTGCACTGAATGGAAAAAGTCACTGATTAGTTGAATTATTTTAAAGATTGTAGCCTTCCATCTACAGCTTTACATATTTGTTAAGAATAAGCTTTTAGTTCTTGTTGAAACTAATCATTAATA